CCCTTGGTAACTTGTGTAGGGCGTGAATGTTTTTGTTACGCTGACCATGACACATAATGGGTGACATAACCTGATGCAACGTCTTTATTGTTGTTGTTGTTGTTGTTTTCCTCTTCTCAGTGCGAATCAGAATGGTGATAATAATTTGAAAAGAGTCAGTTCAATCGACTAGAAAGCAGAGTAAAATATGGCATCATGCGATTCAAGTGCATCATTTATGCTTTCCATTTCGGAGCTCTTTCTCACGGTTTACTTAATGAATTTCCACCTACTAATTCAGAGTTCAGTTGTTGAAGCTTGAAACTCGAGAGGAATTTTATGATGACCACATCAGCAACGAGACCTTTGTGGCACAAAGAAAGAAGGAAAAAACTGACAGAATGAGTATTTTCAGAAAGAATCTCTTCACTTACTGCGTGGAGCGAAGCGGCTGCATGTGAAAATTCGAACAGTTAAGGAGTCCTTATAAGAAGGAAATTAGGTTATACCAAGAAACACAAATGGAAAGAGCCATTCTTTAAAAAATAAATCTACGAAGAAGCCCTCGGCTCTTTGTGAGTGTGCTTGCCCAGAATTCTTTTTAATTTTCATGGTAATGGACATATTGTTCATGCAAATGGCAGCGATTTAAGATGACAAAACAAGGCCGATAAGAACTACAGTCGTTGTAAAGTTTCTTGTTCTTTCTGTATACGTCTTTGAAACTTCATATTATACTCTTCCTAACTCTAATCCGTTCCCCCTCCACGACACTTCGCAAACTGCGTAGGTGATTCAGCACCGTGATGGACTTCTTCAAGGTCTTTTTTTTTTTGTGGTGTGAGCTTGGAACCACTAAAACACTTAGGCCCAAACGCTAACGTATCATGCAGGTCTAAGACACGGTAAACGAAAAAGTATTATAGATTTTCAAATAAAAAAAAAATTGGTGGTGATTCTCCACTCCGACTAAACATTCCAGCTGGAACCCAATGGTGGGCACAAGGCTGAAGGTAAGCTGCCTAGCGCAGTCTGCCTAGTGACAGGTAAACGTGCCTGCTGGTAGGTTTTTCGAGAGTGCACATGAATAGAAGACTCTGTGAAAATGTGAATACTTTGGGGCCGCTGCTACGGTCATTGGCAGGTGCTCTTTTTTTCACCCTTACAAAAAAACCCTTCGTGAACTAAGCCTTTTAGTTAGCCTTCATAACTCAATGATGACCGCAAGTAATTTGATGTATTGTTCATCCAGCACGAATCTCTGAACGCTACCTATTATTGCACAAAGAAGGGGGCGCGTCATAGTCACTCAGCACGTTTACTCGTGACGATTCGTGCGTGCGGTTGTGAACAACTCGCTAGGATAGTTGACAAGGCTTAGTTGTAATTTCACGTTGATATAGACTTTTTATAGATGTTTTCACACTTGAAGAAATTACGCCCGGACCTCGTCTCCCGGAGTTTTAAAGTGCACCGTGAAAGAAACGACAACTGAGTTGGTTATTGGCTGTTGACCACCTTGAAACTCGACGACAAAGCGAAACGGACAACACAGCGCTAAGGTGTCTTGCTCGTGTTATTTTAAAGTGTCTCTCATTGGTCGTGGCGCTCTTTCGAAGAGCTTTACCTTGCAGGTCCTGTTAAAACGTCCTATTGCACTGCATGGCTTCTCAGTGTCTTACACATTTTTGGTATAGTATTTTATATTAAAAACTTGATCGATAGTATGAACTGTCTGCGCCAAAGCAAAAAGAAAAAAAATATTATGGGGCAAGCCGCTTGGTTGGGTGCGCTGAATTAAGTTTGTCATCTGGGGTTTTTAATGTTAGGAGATTATGCATTAATCGAACGCCCCAGAGAATGCCGACGTAACGAAACACCGATGAAATGATCATATGAGGTGCATAAATGAAGTAGCGCGGCAAGCAAACATCATCAGGCTTAGAAGAACATCCACCTGAAGCAAAAATGCGTGACAGAAAGGACGAGAGCTCTTTGGGACTAATTCATATTGCACCAAAACGGTAGGCTAACGGCAAAATAGACTCGACCAAATATTAAGCGAAAAATTCATGCTCCAGAAAGTGAACAGCGTCGCGAATACATCAAGAAAAGACATAGCCACACATAGTGCATAGTCTCACAGCAAGCACAACAAATATTACCACATTTCCTCAAGTTTTCTTATCGCCCCATTTTTCTGTCAGTAATCCTCAGCGCCAACTGCGCTTGCAGTGTTCCAGACGCTTCAGAACTGCAGTAGATAGTTTTTTTTAAGGTTAAGCCCACCCCGTGAACATTACAAAATGCCCTGGAATCAACGTCACTGCTAGCAATAACGCAATAATATTCGATGTCAAGTGTTTAAATGCAGACGCACTTAAGCGTTTGTCAGTTTCTCAACCGCCGACGCTTTGTTCACACCTATTAGTGCCTGTGAGCTTCACTGTATACTGACCTCCAATTTACGGGCCACAAGTTCAACCGAATGAAAAGTTTCATCTGGTAATTGAAGTTGGCTTCCTTCGTCCAAGTCACGACCCCGTGACCGTATACATTACGAGGTAAGTGTGAGAGGCCGAAAACAGGAAGAGCTCTGACACAGGAAGTACAAACGTGGTCATTCGGAACGGCGAGCGAAAATCCGCTCACAGAACCGCACGAAAAAGTGAATGTTCCTGCCTACGCCCCCACGCGTGCCTGCGTGTCTTTTTCTGTTTTTTATTTCTCGCACACTCATTCGAAGCATTGCTTTTATTACAGTCTTATAGCCTACGTCTTGTCATGCACGTAGCAAAGATGAAATCACCGCAGCACCCCCCCCCCCTCCGTGTTGAAGGGCTATTGATTTCAATGTCAGGGTTGCGTAACCTCAGTGCAACGCCATTTTCCCAGGAGAACCCTTCTGGTGCGCGCCGACCAGGCTAGGCTTAGGTTCAAAGCACATTTCCTGAGATACAAGAGTGGTTTGTATTCAGTTTCCTTTGTCGGTTGCTCACTATGCGATATGACTTCAGGGCCTTCGGAACGTGGTCATAAGATAGCTTTTCGAAAACTGTCCCCAGGGGTGCAGTGCTCAACGTCTCTTACTTTGTAGGACTTAGTTCATTGTTGTTGTTGGTGTTGTTGCTATTTCGTGGTGAAATGTTCTTGGCACCTTCTTCCGATATCGATCGGCTTAGAGAGCACAATATTTCCTCACAAATTATCCAAGGCCTAAGAACCTTCCAGCTTCAACACAAAATAGTTGCGTGTGGAGAAAGAGTATTCCAAGATATAGACAATTCATCAGGCTGAGCCTGATGACCACCTTTTTGTCCACCATATGGCCTTGAGCTGAACTCCCAGGTTGGTGAAAATCGGAACCTCTTCCCACTATGGCAGTTGGCAGTACTTTGTTTTTGTGTGTGCAAACTTGTGTTGCATCTCGGCAGGCGAAGAGGGTGTGCTGGTGTAGGTCATGGGAGGCAACTGCTGGCGAGGCTTGAGGGTGGTTAGGTGCTCCTTTTGTTTCTTCTGCGGCCGACGGCCATGCCTCCCACCCCTTAGGTCAGGCAGTGGCAAGGAGATTCAGAGTTGGTGGGGAGTCTTCCCTGCATTCCCAGATAATGTGGCGAAGAATGACTATTGACTTGCAATGCGAGAAATGTGAGATAACTGTATCGGGGTATGTACGTGAACAAATGCCGTAGCATGAGATCGAATCTGTTTGCAGTATACGACAGACAACTGTCGATCACTTGGTCAACTTGTTTCGCGAGAACCAAGGTGGATATCTGGGAATATTGATATTCCATGGTTAAGAATGGTAATAGCGCACTGAAAACGAGGACACGAAGAAGACACACACACACACACACACACACACACACACACACACACACACACACACACACACACACACACACACACACACACACACACACACACACACACACACACAAGCATATAGTTTTGTGTGTGCGTGTGTGTGCCTTGTTTGTGTTCTTATTTTCAGTGCGCTATTACCATCCTTCGCGAGAACACTATTTGGGGACCTTTGCAGCGAATCCTTTTGTCAGTTTTACTCTTGTTCTTATCACAGCAATCCCTTGAACTTGTGAAACTTTGAAACTTTAGTTATTTTACCATTCGAGCTGCTGAGGGCAGCGGTCAGAAAGTCTCTGGAACCACAACTCCTTCAGAAACGCGTGGCATAGACAACTTTTTATTGCAATAAATATAGGCAAATTGAGCAAGCACTTATAGTGTCACTTTATGCAAGTGTAATAACACAAAGGATTGCAAAATATTAAACTAAAAAGGTTATTTTGTAAAAATACAATTAATTTTATTCATTCCTTGTACATACGAAAATCATTATTAGAGTATAATGATACAAGTAATACTGCATTTGCACCAAAGTCTAATTGGGCATGTGTGATGTGATAAGAGACACAAAATGTTTTGAAAGATCAATAAAACATACGCGTGATTTTACTCAGATGGCAGATAAGACATTTAAGCGAAACGAAAAGGAAAATCGAAGCATTTCTTTGCCGTTGTTGCTGCGCGTGCCTGTGATAAACCACGTGTGATTGAATTGGGTGTTTTTAACAACTTTGCGGTGGTTTAGGACGGCAATGGTTCTTAAAAAGTTTTGGCATTTTAATCCTGTTTGATAACGTTTTACAAACATTGCACGGTAGCATTCTGTTAGAGTTAGTGGATTAATTTCCTGAAATGCGGGAGTGGTGTGACAGCAATAAGAAATATTTGCAATGGCACGAACAGTCTTTTCTCTATGACGCGCAATTCGCGGATATTTGGTAACGTTGTAGTACCCCAAACTAGATGACAGTAGTTAACAGGAGATAAAAACAAAGATTTATAGATTATAAGTTTCACTCCTTGGGTAGCGATAAACGCTCCCGCTATAATATGTCTGAAGTCCTTGATAGATTGCCAGATAGCTTTTCAGTATGTGCGTTCTAAGACATGAATATCTCCCGTCCGATCATGGGATGTTCTGTGTGCCGCAGGTATTTGGCCATTGTGCATCCACTCGTCTCTAGAGCTCAGCAGAGCAAGGCACGCGCGAAACGCATCCTGCTGGGAGTCTGGGCCGCCCCGTGCTTGCTGGCGTCGCCGTTCCTCCAGCCCGCGAGGGCCGAGTCCGACACCCTGTGGTCCCAGTACGGCAGCATCTCACGGAGAAGCTGCCTCATCACGCTCGATCCAAGCTTCAGGAGGTAAGCATGGTGATTATAATTTAAATCAGAACGAGTTTTATTTACCGCCACGACAACTTACGAAAGGGACAGGTAAAAGCACACCGACACAAAGAGAGTGTAGCAAGATAAGAACGTTAGAGGGGTTAACTAGATACGTCCTCTTCGCTACCCTACACGTGAAAAGAGAGGAGGAGAATAAGAGAGTAAACGAGAGAGAGAAAGAGCAAATGCACAGTGCACACCAAACACAAAGTGCAGATCGAGTTTCACAAGCGGTTACTCAGTGAACTTGCCTTCAAGAATTGTAGCAGAGCTCGTGCAGCATTCTGGGCGGATGTACTGTGAGACCACGCACCAAATATCTTTTCCCAAGTAAAGGAACGATATCAGTGTCATCAAGGCATACTGGAAAGTCTGGCGTTCTTCTTCAATGTCGGGACAATGGCACATGACGCGGTAAAGAGCTTCAACGCAGTTGCAGTGATTACAGTTGCGCGAGTCAGCTACACAATTGCTATAGCTGAATGAGCTGAAGGGCTACGCTTACCTCCAACCGAGAAAGCATTGTAGCTTCACGTCGCGAAATTGTTGGTGGCACAGAGATAGTATGAACGCTATAGAGGAGAAGCTATGCTGAAAAAGCCCCACCCACGCCACCTTTACACTACCATAGTGACTGTTGTGTGTGTAACTATTACCAAAATAATGGACATTTGTCCTAAACAGGGCTAATAATACTATAATATTATTCAAACACAGGTGCTTCATACGCATGAGAGATGTGCGAACAGTGTCTGGCGTTTACTTGAAATGTTTCGAAGAAAGATTCGAGGCTCTTAGATAATTTATTGCTAGCAAGACTCATGGCGAAGGAACAAACATGATCACGCGCTTTTGCTTGATTGCACCACTTATCCTCTTTCATCGAGATCGCGTATGATCGGGCGTATTGTAAATCACAAGTGCGACATCGTCTGCGTTTTCTGTTGACACACGCTTACAAGTCTACTTTAGGCGGCCTCAATTTCAGTAACTCCGCCAAAAACCGAATACTACCATCAAGTCTTGCAAGCTTGCAAGTAGCTCAGGAGCTGATAATGCCCACAGTCTGGTATATCGGCAACTATTGTGGCACCCTTGTGGTCAGGTATTGTAATGCATGTGCCCTATGGGTAGCTTTTACTCTGGAGTAAGTACTAAGTCGATGGCTTTAGGACGCGAGGCCCGGATTCTCTAGGTACTAGACAGGGTGCCACAAGCATGCAGCGAAATTCGCGCAAAATATATGTTGACTATTATTGTTAGGACTGTTACTATTACGATTATGGTCCTTTTTTATTGACCCCTTCTCTGAACCTGGGCAATAAGACATCCAAGTTTGCCAGAACTATTTGCTTATTATATACACGCGTTACAGTCTGTTATCCGGATGTTGTAAGATTTATAGATCTTTCGGCTCTACAACTTAAGGCTATCCTTGAGCCCAAAACAATAAGAGATAATATGGAAAGGGAAATGCAGGGACGTTTACCTGATAAAAGTAACAAGCACCAAACAAAATCTGTTCCTTCCGTCCTTAATCATTTAGAACTATTTCCCGAGCAGGCATTACTGCATGCTCTGTGACATACAAAAATTATCTAAAACATCTTAATGGAAAAAACTTTATCAACAATATTTCATGTCAGTGTGCCGCGCTGTTGTATTGAGTTGCGTGTGTAATGTCTACTTTTTATTACTTTATTAAATATACTTTTTATTATATGCTGGCGCTGTCAAAGAACAACATTTGAATCTGGCCAGCTGCCCACTAAGTAGTATATTACTAAAGCTTACAGGATTGAATACAATACCATATTTTCGTGCTGAAAGTGGAAGTGATTTCAAATAAAGCAACAAAAATCAGTTTTAAGTGCATGTTGCAATCACTATCTCTCTCTTCTTTGCAGATCTACCATGTAAGGTTAAATTTTATTTCTTCAATTTGTAGTGCACTTTTGGTGTAGGGTTCGAAGAAGCATGTTCGTCTGATCAATTTTTTATGGACCTTTTCTAACTTTTCATCAAGCGCTGTGCAGCACGCACATAACACGTTGGTAGTTCAGCCAAGTGAAAGCTAAATGTTGACTGATTGACTCTTTGTCTCACCACTTCTACAACTGACAACTTCATGAACAATGCAGGGCCTACTATGCGAGCCTATTCGTGCTGATGTACCTGCTACCTCTGGCGTTCATCGGCTGGACGTGCGGCCGCATCGCCCGCTGTCTACTCAGGGGCATCGCTCTCACCCGACAGGGTAGTCTGCGCCGACAGGAGGCGAACCGGCGAAAGGTAATACTCACTGCCTCTCGGTACGTTCGCAAAAACAAAATCAGCTTTTAAAGTGTTGCTTCTCATATTAAATCCATATTACGAAAGGTGACGTTAACCGATCTCACGACTGGTAGGTACCAGAAACTGAAATTTTACGGGCAACGAACGGCTTCATATACATACAGCAAAAGCCCGTCAGTAATAAAGAAGAGCAACTGAAAACAAATCAAGGAAAAAAGGCGAGTGGCACAAAGCAGGCATGTAATACTGACAAAAAGCATGCGGAGAATCACCCTCACGCCCTTCCATGAAAACTGGGCATGTGTTCACAAAAACGTCTGACGCTGCAATTGTTCACAACATGTTCTTTCTGTCAATGACAATTCAGTTCATATCGTTAGTTAGTTAGGCTCGCCAATCAGAAAGCACACTGACAGAACAATCTATCATCGCACCTTAAATAATCTGACATTGGAACGGTAGTATGTTGCGACAACAACAAGAAATCAATGGAGAGATAGGGATTTCCGGCAACAAAAACGTCTCTGTGGTGTCAAATAAATAACACTGTGTTAGTAATCAATATTTCAGCCAAAGAATATCGTCAAAACTGAAGCAGGCCTGCATTTTGTACCGGCCCCGAATAAATTGCTCCTTCTGCCATCGTTGGCGACGTTAACTTGAAGTATAATAAAAAACCCAGAGGAAGCGTGACCTAGTGAGGCTCATCTGCTTACAATTGCAGAAAGAGTTCGCGATTTATTTCATGGCTTGTATAGAACCACGCATGTGTGCGGAAAATGCAGCCTGGGTGTTTATTACCAAGCTCTCCCTATAAAGTTGCAAAGGGCCAGCCCGGAACCTGCATTGTCAGCAATTCTAGGACGCCCATTTAAAAACTGCTTTTACCCGCAAAGAAAGTTCAGCATCAGCGAATATTAAACAGAAAATACTACGTATTATGAGAGAAATTATATATAGGAGTAGGGATTTGCGGGCTTTTTTTTTTTGGGGTGGGGGAATAGGGGGGGGGGGGGCAGATATGCTTCTCCAAAATGTCTCTCATGCTAAATTGTGTGTATTAGTCCGAGTGCTGAGTTTAAAGGCATTAGCGAACTTCTGAAGTAAGGCACTGGCATCATTTCTTTTTTTTTTTGCATAGCAGCCACGGACTTTCACTGCCGAACTATGCATCTATGTTTGATGGGACAAGAAAAGTGGCGTTCTGTGTTGCTCCTTCATCTTTCACTCTCTCCATGTAGTTTCCCAAGAGTAAAAAAGAGTGTAGTTTACACTAAATTTTATTAATTAGCCGTGCCATTAATTACCGCCAAAGATTCATCGAACAAATCCCCCGTAATCCCGTATCGAATATTTTGTACTAGTGCGTTTTATAAATGCACAACAACGAAGTCCAACGCATCAACAATCTGGAACTTGAGCTTGTAAGGCGGCTGTTTATACATTTTTTAATGCAATATGGCGTAGAATGGCTAATAAAATTACACTGAGCCATCATTCGCGCAAAAATTTCCTCGCAGCGCGCACAGCGTTATTCAAGATAGATGGTACATCTTGCATACACATTTCGAACGAGCGTTTTTATGCAACCTATCCAGGAATATTTTGATTGAGAAATGAAATGTCAAGACACACTTCCCATTTTGTCGGCTTCAGTTTTGTCTTCTTTTTTAGCTTATTAGCAAGAGAGATGTCTTAATAAAAAGTGTCACTGTAAATAATAAAATATGTTATAGTAAACTTAGTAGAGCTGAAAAGGCGGGCGATTTTTTTTTTTTAGGGAAAACCTCACGCACGTCACATACGAGCGTAATCTTGAAGGAAAACCAAGAGTGCAGAAAATTAAGCAAGAAAGCTGAATCGATCGTGAGCAAGTCGTTTGTTTTGTCTTGGCGCCGTTAGAATGACAAAAGTTACGAAAGCAGATATACCACGTGACTCCGAAATGTGCGCGTTCACTCCCTCTTTGAGGCATTCGTGTGACTACCAAAAGCAGCGTTCAAATTATTTAACAAGCACTGTTAAATTGCCTTACCAAATGTTCTTCGTCTTGGAGTAGTCTACAATTAGCGCATATGAAAACTTGTCGGTTTTGTTTTTTGTAACCCTTGTTTTCGCTCATCGACCTAAACCTTTTAACAATCAACACAACAATGGTACTGCCGATTCTGAACCCTTATTTATTGAAGTCACACCTGTGCATGTCAATCACTTACACCACACCCAGTTTAAGCTTGCAGAGTGTTCTCGGCGGTTCACCTTAAATTGAATCTTGGGGTCTGAGTCTACACTGCGCGTAAAATATATGTTAACGAGGCACTAAGCCTTAGATACAAGCTTCCTAATCTTGATTCCAAAGCGCAATTGAGCTTTGCACTTTAAGGGTGGATTATACCCCATGTTACGTTTGCACGCCACTCTATCTGTGGTATTGCTATCACAAAGGTATTTACCGACTGATACACGTCAGTAATCAGAGTACGTTGCTTTTGGATAACACATCGCGAGTTCGCACCAATATTCATATTCGCGTCGACAAAGTTGATACTCCGTACTCACGCTGCATTACAGTTATGTTTGACAAACATCGCACTTCCAATTCCACACTTTGAGTATACTGCAATACAGTTGCCTGCCTTAAAAGCGAGTTTCCAGAGGACGTTCAACTTAGTTTACAAATCTTGATTCCCTTCTAAGGCAATAAGAGTATTTTCTATCGGCCAACAAAGGCTTTTTTTTTTTGTGAAACCAGCCGTAAAACATGAAAACCAAGCAAAGCACTAGGCGCACAACTGCACAACTTAATCAGAAAAGTTCAAGATAAATGGCACTTAAAAAAAAGGTTGATAGGTTGCAGCTTCTGTTACAACAAAAATGGCAGATTAGTGAAGACACCGCATGAAAGGCTAGTGAACCATTTTTTGAAGCGAAAAGTATTGTGTGTCTCAAGTTACTTTAGTAAATAATATGGCAGTAAATCTATCCTTGGAGAGAAAAAATTTTCCTGTCTTGTTTTTAGTGGCGCCTTTTGCTCAAAGCGATGAAACATGGAACCGTATATCAAATAGAAAGAGCTAAGAGCAAGGGCACTGACCTAGCGACGACATAAAAGTTTATAACGGTCGTTGAACTGATATTTGAGCTCGTGTCTTGTTACCTCATCAGCCACTTGTGCAGGCGTGACCTCTAGATTGCAAGAGATTGGTGTGAACTCAGTTTGGAAGGAAGAAAGCAACAAAGGGAGAAGGCAGGGAGGTTAACCAGAGATACATCCGGGTTGCTTCCTAAAGTATTCAATGGCGTGTACCTCGGCTAAGCAAGAAATGGTATTTGAGGAAGCGAAATAAGTCGTGCGAAATTTTCAGCGTGATTCTCAAAAGCGTCCCCCGCCTTAATGAGCTAGATTCCACAGAACGTGAGTTCTAAGATTAGTGACACCATGTTTATATGATTGCATGCGCGAAGGATGCAGTTACCTTGCATTTCTTAGGCTCGCGATAATGACTTGCACTTACTAATTAATAACCCGATTTAGCGTAGCCCCTGTTATGAGTTGTTCAAATGTCATAGAAGGGAAGGGCGCAACAACACGGCTTGCTTTCATATGCAGTGCTTTCACTTTAGAACGCAAGGAAATTTCTTCAAGAGGGGCACGTAAGTGGAAGCCAGAGCTATGAGACCGGGGCGTACAACCATCGCCACAACTTTACAGAAAAAAAAACAAATAAAGAAAACAAAGACTAGAGAGCATTGTCAACATGTGCATGGTACTAATAATGTCAAAAGTGGAGCTTGAGGTGAAGATACGTTGTAGATGGCCGGGTGGGCGACGCGCAAACGGTGATGGGGAGTTCAATGTCTAATGAAAAAGCATTATCCTCAATAACTCGTGCCTTGCTCAATCCCGAAATGGCAATGTCGTGTATATTTTTGCGTAGATGATAACGCATACGGTATTATGAAACCTTCGAGAGACATACATGACCGACAGACAGACAGACAGACAGACAGACAGACAGACAGACAGACGGACGGACGGACGGACGGACGGACGGACGGACAGACAGACAGACAGACAGACAGACAGACAGACAGACAGACAGACGGACAGACGGACAGACAGACGGACAGACGGACAGACGGACAGACGGACAGACAGACGGACAGACAGACAGACGGACAGACAGACAGACGGACAGACAGACAGACAGACAGACAGACAGACAGACAGACAGACAGACAGACAGACAGACAGACAGACAGACAGACAGACAGACAGACAGACAGACAGATAGATAGATAGATAGATAGATAGATAGATAGATAGATAGATAGATAGATAGATAGATAGATAGATAGATAGATAGATAGATAGATAGATAGATAGATAGATAGATAGATAGATAGATAGATAAGATAGATAGATAGATAGATAGATAGATAGATAGATAGATAGATAGATAGATAGATTCAACGTTCTTCCAGGTCGCTAATTAATGTTCCGCGTTTAAAATCAGACTTGGAGCAGGAACCAAACACAATAGTTCTGCGCGGCAATCATGTATTCTACCACAGAGCAACGCAAGGTCTTCAATCTGAACAAAGAAAATGATCTCCTAAATAAAATGTTACACTTTCTCTAATTTCTTGCGAGCGTCTCGTTCTGGTAGAGTTAACACCTTCAGGTAATATGCCAGGATTATTGACCACTTGCCAAATCGTAATGAGATCACGTGCTACGTGACACCTACAGGCAACCAAGGGAGTTTCACACTCACCGTAACAGCAAGAGGTGGCGCTGATGTACGCTCCCACGTGTAAATGCACATATATGGGCTGCAAAGTGAATGGAGGGAGACTGATAACACTCCCACGTTTATATGAACATATATTGCCTATAAAGTGAATGGAGAGATGACCGCCATCATAGCTCAGTGACAGCGAGCATCTGACACCATAATCGAAGGTCGCAGCTTCGGTACCAGGTGCTGGTAAGC